CCTGTTAGCTCACAGCGCTTTCAGAATGTTCGATTATCCACTCAATAGCAGCCCATCCCTGCAGCAACACAGAACAAGGTCCACTGTGAGTTCCACTGCGGGCCTGCACGGGCGGCAGGAGAGGGGCGACACTGTGGTGAAGACACAGCAGCGACCTGTCCAGCATCACCCTCAAGCTCAAAATCAGCCGGAATGCTTTCTCTACCATCTTAGTAAATTGACACCCTCGCTCCAGCTTTCCCAGCCTCGGCACCCCCTTAGTATAACACAGAAGTCCTCATTCCCCCAGAGGTTTGCGAATGCAACCCTGATATCCCAAGTCCCAACCCTGAGCCTGCTGCCTAGAGGCCAGGGGGGCCCCGGCCACAGGCCTACCTGTACCCCACCCCCACCCCATCTACACAAGGCTACCAGCTGTTCCTAGACATATGGAAAGACTAGCCCATCTGCCTCCTGGGTGGCAAAAGGCAGTTCCAGCAGAGAAGATGATTCCTTTCCTCCTAGGTACAGGCAGTGACCCCTTAAGCCTTTCACATTCCACCTCTTAGGAAGTGAAGTAAAAGAAAGCCAATGTGGCTCCTCTGCCTTCACCCTGCTTGCTCTCCACGAAGCTCTGAGAGGGGTTTACATCACTGGGCAGCCCCTGTCCCCACCCTCCTGGAATATTTTGTTCCAGTCGACTTCTGAAGCCAAGCACCTGAGGACAAGAAGTTGAGGGGCATATCCTCCATGAGAAGTCCACACGTTTCTTGCCCCACCTCCCCTGAGTAGAGCAAAGTAACTGCCTACAGTTCTCAAATCTGGACTTTTCTTTTTTTGATGGGGGTGGTATTGGTGACTGAACCCAGGGTCTCTTATACTGAGCTACAGCCCCAGCCCCTCTTATTGTTTTAGACAGGGTCTTACAAAGTTGCCCAGGTAGCCTCCAACTTGACATCCTCCTGCCTCAGCCTCCTGAGTTCCTGGGTCTACAGGTGGGTACAGCAGAACCTGCCTCAAATCTAATTTTTCTTTTAAAAAATAATAATAGGGTAGGCAGGCTCTTCTATTTACAACTAGTTAAAATGCAGGCCAAATGTGGTTTCACCAATTGGTGACTTAAGCATGGAAATGTCAGAGGACAGACAGGTGAGGATGGAGGAAACATGAGGTCAAGAGAACAATTCTATAAAATGGGCGCACTGCACTGACCCCCACATGCTTTCTTTTCCAAGAAGCAATTTACATGCATCCTCACTGGTCTAAGAGGACAGACTATGTCACATTCCTCAGGAAACTACTTATTATCTGCATAAGAAATCCAAGCCCAAAATAATGTTCATCAGAGGCACCCAGACATTATTATTGGTAATAACATAACCAGATCCTGAAACTCCAGGATATAAGGATAATTCCTCCTAACAATAAAATCTATAAGAATGTATGGTTAAGGATCCAGTTAGAACCAATCAGCATGGGCCAAGGTGACCTAGAGTTGCCATGGCAGTGAATACTTGGAAGTCTGATGTTACCCTGCTGTCATTCAAAGGTCAAGAGGTGGACCTGGGTGGAACATTGGAAACTTCTCTGGGATCCTCAATAAAATGAATGCAGGAGAGACATGTTGCCCCTCTCCTCTCCGAGGACTCACTCTCTCCCTTGAGAATGTTCCCTTTCCCTTTTCCTATTCCTTCAATAAACTCATTTCTGTCACTCTAAGTGACATGCCTGAAATCTTTCTGACTTGATTACAAGAATCAGGGCTTGGGGGCAGGGGGTCTTCATACTGCCTCAGTTTCTCAGAAGGCCCCAGCTCTGTAACAGAAGGAAAGGAAGGACAGCCCAACTGATTCAGAAAATGAAAATGGAGAAGCCAGGGTGGGAGGAATGGACAGGGGAAGACACGAGCCGTGAAGTAAGCCAAGGTGGAAAGCAAAGGCCCTGCTCTGGCAAGAACCACCTTTAAGTTGAGAAACTTCTCCCTTCCCAACTTCCAAGCTCATTCCACCAATCTGATGGAGGGGAAGGACATCTGGACTCCCAGGTTGATCTCTGCCTCTACCCCAGCCCCTGGGCACAGATGGAGACCTCCACAGAGCTCACTCCCAAATCCTGCTAGTGGGCACCACAGCTTGGGGCATTCAAGCGCAGCACCTGGTGCCTGTTGTACAGAACATGCTGCCTGACAGCGTCAGAGCACACCATTTCCTAGCGTCATGTGGTGGGCTTGTTTGCTTTTGCAGAACCTCCAGAATTTGGGCTCTCTGCAGGGGTAGCTGCCCTGGCTGGGTTTATACTCCAGGTCTGCCCCTTACTTTCCCTACTAAGGAGAGTAGCCCTATGGCTCCCCTGGCCATAGACATTTTGCCCTTCAGGCCCTGTCCAGCCTTCCAATGCCACTGGTTTTGAATGTAACTGTGGGAAATGCTGTGGAATTATAAGCTCAGCTACTGATGGAGAGCCCCAGCACCTAGGAGGACTTATAGCACTAAAAATGTCTCCTGCTTCACCTGGCACTTAATATTCAGACCACAAACAGGACCCCGCACTGGTACAAACCTTCTTAGCATTGGATGATATCGTGTTTGCCATGAGACTTTCCAGATAGCTGCCAAGGTTAATCCCCTTCACGGTGATGATGGCTTCCTGTGTGAGCACAGTCCTGCAGGAGAGAATAGGTGAAGAAGTGGAAAAGGGAGCTCCCCCACCACTGCTATTCTACGTGCAAATCCCAGGATGAGAAGGCTCACTTTCCAGGGTTCTCCGGGTGAGGTGTGTACACCAACCTCTCATTCACTGACACCAAATTTGTGAGTGTGATCTTCAAAAAGAAAAAAAAAAAAAAAAAGCTTTAAGTTCTATTTCTCTTAGACTTCTTCCCAAACCATCTGCCCATATTCTTCCACCCTAAAATTAACACTGAGCAGAACCAAAGCAAACACATAGGCCCCAAAGGCCCAACCACATCACATTCTAGGGACACCATATTTCAGCTCTTCCTGTGGGCAGCTGGCATCTCTTCTGTGCCAGTGCTCTGGCCTCCAGGGTACTTCCAAGCTATCAGATGCACCAGCAGTTACAGGAAAGGACAGTGCCCATGTGAACAATAGCAAGCTCTCTGCCCCCTTGCACCAGAACCAGGTCTTGAGGCCCTGGCTCCTGGGACTACATGGGACAGACCCCAGTAGCCACATAAAGACTGTGGAGGCCTTGTCTCCTCAACATCACTTCCTGTAAACAGCCAAGTGCCTCATTCAGCTAGGTTTTCTGCTGAGGCCTATTGGAGAACTGGTGCTCCAGCACAGCACTGTGAACAGGAGCTGACAGTACTCCCTGACGTGGTGGCTGCAGACACATGAAGTGAATGAACACCTAGAATGTGGCTAGTTTGACTGAAGTATGGGATTTAATTTCATTCATTCCAATTAATTTGTTCAAATAGCCACATGTGGCCAGTTGGCTCCCACCCAGAACCAAGAAGTGCTGGAGTTTTTATGCAGGAGAGGCAACTTAGGGAGTCCTTCAGCAACCTAGTATAGAACCCTCTTCTCCAAGAGCTAGTTCCAACACAAAACCTTTGTTTGTTGTTTGAGACCAGGTCTCTCTTTTTTGCCCAGGTTGGTCTCCATCGCCTGGCCTCTAGCAATCCTTAATCCTCCCTACTCTGAAGAAGCTAGAATTTCATGAATGTACCACTGTGCCCAGCAAGACCATTTAAAAAAAAAAAAAGTTGTCAAAAGCAAGATAACCCTTCAGCAGTGATAAACACTTATTTTCTGCTCATGTAATAATTTCACTAAAATCCTGTACTTTCCCTATTCCTCCACAGCTAGCCAGCCTCTGCCTGCCCGGCCCATCTGTGTTCTGATACTAGGGTACACCTGCTAGTCTATCTGGGAAACTCCTGCAGTCTTCAAGCCCCAGCCTCCCCTTAGCTCCCCTACAAGGTTCCCTCATGGCCCCATCGGGGGCTTTTGCCCTTACTGTTTACACGCCTGCATAGTTGGTCACGCTGCACATGGGGTGGTACACCAGCGAGGGCAGGAGTATCTGTCTTGCATTCTCTGCCCCTAGCATGATGCCTGGCAGACAGCAGACTCCTGATGTGGTTAATGGAACCAATCAATGAGTGATTCCCAAGGGACAAAACAGGCAAACCAGAAGAGGGGGATGATGGAGAAGTAAAGCTCCACAGAGGAGTACTGGGATGGGATTTTTTCCCAGAATGGCTCATTTCTGTGGTTACTAAGAATAAGTGATATTTGTAAAATGAGCCATTTTCCTATCCTGTGCATTTTCCCATCCTGTGCATTTTCCCCAACATGCTCTTTGAAACTGCATCAGCTCAATACCATCTACACAATTTTAATTAAAAGTAGTAAAAGAGGAGTGAAGAGAGAACATGGCTTTCAGCATGATCAGTAGAGCTGAAGGTGTGGCACAATGGCAGAGTTCTTGCCTGGCATGCACAAGGCCCTGGGTTCAATCCCCAGCACTGTAAAAACACAAAACAAAATAGGCTCAGTGACACACATCTGTACTCCCAGTGACCTGGAGGCAGAGGCAGGAAGATCACAAGGTCAAAGCTACCTGGGCCACTGAGTAAGATCCTTTCTCATAAAAATTAAAAAGGACGAGGATGTAGCTTCGTGGTAGAGCACCCCTGGGTTCAAGCCCAGTACCACATAAATAAAAATAATTGAAAAACCACTAAAAGTGACATCTGCTTCTAGGAATCAAGATAGTGTTTGTTGTTTGTTGTTTGAGACCAGGTCTCTCTTTGCTGCCCTAGTTGTGTCCTGTCACCTCATCTACCAGCCAGTGTGTTCATGTGGTGACAGTCATCAACATGGGCCTTGTTTGTCTTATCCCTCTTAAGTGACACGTGAATACTGTGCATCTTCATGGGCTGGCATGTCATATACAACACATGCACACACTGTGAGAGGGCTACATCAGGTTGGCACAGTGTCTCCTCCAGTGGTGTTACCCTTTGTGTTTACAGCACACAGTCTTTCTTCTGGCTTTTCTGAAATATACAGTCCACTGTCGTCTTCCATAATCACACCACGGAGCAACAAACAGCTCACAGACTTGGTTCCCTTAATTGGAAATGTGCATTTTTCTACGTGCTTTTTATATTTGTTTTTGTCTTTTAATTTTTTTTTTTTTAACTGAGAATTGAGCCCAGTGCACTTTATCATTGAACCACACTTCCAGTGCTTTATTTTTTATTTTGAGACAGGGTCTCACTAGGTTGCTGAAGGACTCCCAAGCAGCTGAGATTACAGGTATATGCCACCACACCTGTCTTTATTATATTAGAATAAAAAGCAAATTTAAAAGCTCAAATAAATTTGAACTTCCTATGAAATTCAGTGCTCACTGAGGCCAGAGCCAAGCTGGAAGTAAGATTAAATGAAGGCGCTACGCACCATCACCAGGACACGGCTAAGCACCGCTCTCCTAGGCCATTGCTTACATTGCTGGAACAAAGTTCCATTTTCTTTTCCACTGGATCCACAACAGAATGCTCTTTGATGTATGTCAAAGTCCTACTGGTCCCCAAAATCTAAAAAACAAAATGAAACTAATATAGTAACATGCTAGAATTCCATTTGCTAATTAATTCACCTATTTACTAGACAATGATGTGACTGGGAAATGGACACAACAGACAAAATCTAGTCTTAAGGACACTTCCATTCCCATAGGTGACAGATGTTGAAAAAATTAAATGAGTTCAGAGCTTGAGTGCATGTCAGTAACTAATGCTTTGACAAAAAAGTAGGGTGAGATATGGGGACCAAAGTGGCCCAGAAGGCCCCTCTGCTGGGAAGGCCTCTGGGATGAATTCTGTGGGAGGGTCAGGCACGAGGGATGTCAGATCCAATGTGGTGTACAAACCCTCATGGAAGAGTCTCTGAGAGAGCCAGTAGCAATAAGGGGCCAGATTTACTCATTTAGTGACCTCCAGAGCAACTCTTCCAGTTATCTGCTGAATTGTGTCCCATCTAAATCCATATTTTGAAGCCTCAACCCACAGGACCTCAGATTGTAGGACGGGCTGCTAGACCTCATTAAATAAAAATGGGGTCCTATGGGTGGGCGCTATTCCAGGATGAGTGGTGTCCTTCCCAGAAAACAGTCAACATGTAGGTAGAGGGGCAGAGGCCCTGGAGGAAGCCCGCCTGCGGACACCTTGACTTAGGGCTCTGGCCTCCAGGACTGAGAGCCGATAGCCTGAGCTGCGTGTGCACCTCGGCATCTCGGCAGGCAGCCCAGCAGAAGAAGCAGATGAAGCTATTGCGCCCAATGGGGCAGGCAGGGTGGGGCAGAGAAGGGCGCAGGGGCCCCGCAGCCAGGACGCGGTGGCCCCAAGACGCGGTGGCCGGGCGGGCGCTCACCGCGCGCACGAGGCTGGGCAGCCCCCACTCGGTGCTGAGCAGGCGCAGGCTGTGCAGCCGCCCATGGCCATCCACGCGGCGCTCCAGCACGTCCACGCCCACCACGCACGGGTTCATCGGGTTCGGGTACTTCCGCATGGCTGCCTTGATCACCGTGTCCCACGGGTGGCTGGCGGGAGAAACACAGTCAGCCAGAGAAGTCGCAACCTGGGGACGCTGGGCAGCAGAGCGGCACCGGAGCCAGGATGCTACATCTACAGGGCATGGGCAGCAATGCAGTGCTCCTTCCTGGGGGTTCAACGCTTTAGCCAAACTAATCTATGCAGAGAATCTACTCCAGGCCCAACCCTGGATTCTGTGAGCCTTGCTGCTGGTGGGCTCTGGGGCAGAGCAGTTCCCACACCCAGCCTGGCATGCCACAGTTAGCTACCCTTGGCACCAGGCCCCCACACACCTGCATCCCTAGCCCAGTTGCTACATGGTGGGCCCTGGGCTACAGGGTTTTCCTCCTCTGACCCAGGCTGTTTCCTCTCTCAGGCCTCGCTCTGTACTCAGGGAGGCAAAATACTGTTGACAAGAGGTGTCCAAGCAGTGAGTAAATGCTCCCATCTCTATGGTATGTGGCCCTCCCTGGTGCTGCTCCATGGGGACAGAGAACCCTAGGCAGCCAGCACCAGGGTGTGCCTTCCTGCCTGGCTGCCACAGTGAATACAAGCTGGACTCTAACTTCCAGTTGGCCTTGGGGTCCTACATGACCACCTGGACATCTGGTAGCTAAGAATATTATTGTAGAATAAATACCACAACTTGCCGGGTGCAGTGGCAAATGCCTGTAATCCCAGCTGCTTGGGAGGCTGAAGCAGGAGGATGGCAAATTCAAAGCCAGCCTCAGTAAAAGTGAGGCATTAAGCAACTCAGTGAGACCTTGTCTCTAAATAAAATACAAAATAGGACAGGGGATGTGGCTCAGTGGTCGGGTGCCCCTGAGTTCGATCCCCAGTACAAAAAAATAATAATAATAATAATAAATAACACACCTGTCTTATATGCATCCTGAGCAGGCTACTGCTCCCAGCCAAACAAGTGCTATCAAAAATCAACTACAGAAGTCCCCCACTTACCATAGCTGGATTTAGGAGTTTTCCAATTTCACGAAGGTACAAATGCATATCCATTCATTCTAGTTTTGACTTACAGTATCCATAAAGTTACGTGAAACACTTAGTGCTCGTGTTTTCTGATATTCATCATAAAATGGGTTTGTGTTGGATGGTTTTGCCCAGGTGTAGACTAAGGCAACTATTCTGAGTACATTTTAGGCAGCTAGACCATGGTATGGAGTAGGGTAGGCATACTGGATGTATTTTCAACTGGCAATCATTGTCACCTATGATGTGTCTAATTAGGACATGACCCCACGAACTGAGGAGCAGCTCTGCTTTGTTCCAGCTTCTAAATGGTATATGACCAAGCAGCCACTTTTTTTTTTTTTTT